ATAGCTCCCATGAGCATACCCAGTCACCCTTACCACTTCTCATTAGTGAGGGGAGGAGAGTTTAAAGCTGATAGTTGGTATGGATCCATTCAACGTAAAAAGTTCTGTTTGGTAGCTATTGTTGGGGTGAAATGTCTACCCAAATCATCAACTAATGGAGACGAGTCAGAGGAGGAGGAGGAACAATTAGAAGAGGAAGCTGAGGAGGAAGTGGAAGATGGTAATAGTGATTCATCCAGTGATTCTGATAAGACTAAAGGTCCACCAGGAGGTAACAGTGGAGGACAAGGTCAGTAATGAGTCAGTCAGTGTGTACTAGTATATAATCAAGAGTAGATAATGAACTGAATCTATTCCACTACATAGGAGAGTCTACTAGTAATGAGGGAGTAGAGGAAGAGGGGGAGACTGGAGGTGAGCCATTACATGAGGAAGGAAATGAAGAGCAAAATAATGTAAGAGTAGAAGAGTCAAAGGATCATGAAGAACCACAGCATGAAGAAGCAACTGCTCCAATACCTTGTACTGAGATTAGTTCAGATTTTAATAGTAAGTACATTCATAAAGTGTGCATAACATTTTTGTGTATAGGTGAAATGGTTATTTCCACTGGTGTAGTAGAGAATATGACATACGCTGGACAGGTTTATTATGAAGAGAAAAGAACTAGAGAATTGGTAACCTTCACTGCAGCTAAGAAATTGAGTGCTCTCATTGAGGTACATTATATACAAGTACATGTAGCTATTCATTCATTAACTGTTTTTGTAGTTCATTGAGAAGAAACATATACAAGCTGAGATTGATCAACATGTTTATTTTTCATTCAATTCTTCCTATTCATATATTGAATTGAAGTCTGATGCACCTCAAGAAGAGCCATTCACTGGTTGGAGTATTAAGCCTCACCTTAAGCCTTGTAGAGTAAGTATTGCAATATAATGCATAACTGATGGTTGGTACGTGTATATTAATAGTTGCGTCGTTGCGATATTGATAATTTTGGTGATGCTAATTATCCAGTTCCTCCATCTTGTTTGATATCAATATATGGATCACCAGGTGCTGTACCATCACTGCATTACTCTGTACCACTAGTGGGTGTTGTTGACCCAGTTACATTGCTCATTCATTGTTCATTGAGAACTGCGCCTCCTCGTCCTTCAATAAGTAATCAATGTAGATCATTTTAATTATTTTATTAGGTTATTTAATCAGATCCTAATAGCTCTATGGCCTCTAATGAATCTGCAGTATTATCCACTGGAGGAGCTAGTAAGTGATAGTACTGTGTGTATATACTGACCTTTGACCTCTATTAGGTCCATTAGATACTGTTGATGTCAATAAATTAAAGAAAGTAATCAATGATGTTCTTGTATCTCATTATGCTGCACTTACTTCTTTACCTAAGAAAGCTCTTTCTGAACTTGTTAATCAACTTTACACAGTCCATATGATCAATACTGCAGTGAGACAAGCTCCTTCAATGGAAGAGTGCATTGATGAGTTCAAGGCTAGTCTTAGTTTCAAGAGGAAGTTACCTCAAGTGCAGGAGCACTGTCAAAAGTTCTTAGACTCATTCATTGCTGTAAGAGGCAGTTATGCTCATGCAGCAATAGCTTTAGGTGAGGACTTGATTGAAACTATTAGGAATGAACTGGGATTTGAATTTATTATTGATATTGATGCATAATTTTGGTATTTATGATTTGCTTTATTAGTTTTATGTGTCTCATTTTAAAATTATCAGTATCATACTCAAGAAAGATGTGCATGTACATGTACATGTAATGTACTCTTAGCTGATTTGAATTTAATGAGTCCCGCCATCAGCCAATCACCACGCCTCTTTAAATAAAATGGCTGTGTATGTACATGTAGGCCAATGTGGTGTACAACTGGGTCATGCGTATTGGGAACAAGTATTATCATCAGACTACAGCTCATCACTCCTCCTGCCAAATAAGGACATCCCTGGTATTAGTATAGACACTGAAAGGAAGACAAGGAGCCCATCACTTCAGTATTCAAGTGTTGTCACTGGATCTGGTAGAGGGTGTGGAAACAATTGGTCTTATGGCCTCAAAGAAGGAATGAGAATGGGTAGTTTTGTGACCGAGGAGATACGTAAGATAGCGGAGAGATTGGATTACTTTATGGGAACAATTTTTACGCACAGTCTAGCTGGAGGAACTGGATCAGGTAAGATTTAACTTAATAGTATTATAAGCTATTTTATAGCTAAGCCTTGTAATTTTTGAGGGGAAAAACAAAATTCAATTTGCCAAACTTACCCCACCAAATTACCTGTTTTGCACTTACAGCTGACACTCTCTTTGTAAGGAGTAATTGATTTTGTGTATTATTTTGAGAATAAGAGTTTTTTCATTAACCTCTTGATGATGATTGATAGTTTATATATGAATCAATAAAACTAAATGCCGTATAGTGCTTTATTTTTAAAGAACAAAATTTTGGTTTTTGGTATACATTGAGCTACTTTACACTTTGCAAATGATATTAGTGAACTTTATAATGTAATATGTTTAAGTCAGGGTTTTTTACAATTTTGGTACAGTGCTGAGCTTCTTGTCAACAAATTTTTGAAGCCGTTCCAAAATTTAAATGTACTTATGGCACTGGGTACCGTATAGCAGGAAATTTTCATTAGGTGCTAATTTTTGTTTGTTTCATTGGCCAAAAATTTGAAAAACTCAAAATTTAGTCTAACTAAAATTTTGACCCATGGCAGATCCTCTTTTCACAGCATTGCAATCTGTGGCATCATCAGGCTCGACACAAAAAGCAGTTCTTCTCTAACTGATGGGCTCCAAATCTCTTTTTATATGTGGTAACGACGGCAAATCATATAGAACCATAGACATTCTTCCATCTTAAACCATACACATGGCACTAATTAAATGGGCGTGGCAGTGAGAATTTATGTTAGGCAAAACGAAAATAAAATCAACGAAAATATCTTGCAAAGCTTGCTTGGAAAGACAACGAAAGTTTATGGTAGCGAAAATTTCCTGCTATACAGTATTTTGTCAAGAATGGCTAGTAGACAATTTATTGCATTCTCTGATGGATATCATTTTACTTATGTTGTTTAGAAATTTTAAGCAGATTTTGATCAAAATTAGAATTTAAAAAAGCCTTTTTTTACACTGATACAGTTTTTGAAGCGTTTCACATCAATCCACCTCAAGAAGTGAAGTGAGAGTGAGTCATATTAATTTGAAACCACTCTAGTGTGAACATGATTAATGTGCATTACTTTTGCCAGTGTGAAAGGGCCTTAAAGTCATGTCTTGGGTCAAATTTTGCTAAAAAAATCTCCATTTTACAATTTTTCCAGATACTTATACATGTACTTATGTTGCATTATAAGTTTGAGCTAATTTTGATCAAAATTGAATTTTTTGGGAATTTTTAAAGATGCTCAAAAATCTGGTCAAAGTCCTTATACTCTAGTACATGGTCTTGGGCCAAATTTTGCCAAAATTGAAAAGGAGAGATTTCTCCATTTTTATATTTTTTCTGATACACATAGATGTACTTTTGTTGCGTAGAAAGTTTGAGCGGAGTCAAATCAAAATTGGACTTTTTATGAATTTTAAAATTTGCTCAAAAATCAGGCCAAAGTCCCTGTACTATATAGTACAGGGTATTCAATCAATTTTTGTCAAATTTGACAAAAAGAAAATTTTCTATTTTTATAATTTTTCTGATGCATATGCTTACACTTCTGTTACGTAGAAAGTTTGAGCTGAT